GTGCCAATCTCACTGTCTCTGACACACCCATCCTATTACCCCAGTCACTGAATCAATCCACCTCACAGAGGGCCTTCCCCTCCTGCGCCTGCCCTCCACCCTCCCAAGCATGATGTCCTTCTCCAAGGACCGGTCTCTCCTTACATGACCAAAGTATGTCAGACGAAGCCTCAGAATCCTTGCCTCCAAGGAGCAGCTCAGTTTAACCCTCTCCAGGATGAATCTGTTTGTTTTTTTAGCAGTCCATGGTACCCTCAGCACTCTTGTCCAACACCAAAGCTCAAAGGCATCAATTCTCTTTCTATCCTCCTTAATCATTGTCCAACTTTCTGACGCATAACAAAGACCAGGGAGGGCAGAAAGCAGGCAAAAAAGCAAGACAGCCCAGCAGAGCTGAAAATCCCCGCATTCATCTTTAGATAAATTTCCTGCGGTCTCATGGAGTCTGGCTCACGGGGCCTACAAAACAGAGTCAGATGCCTCTGAGGGTGTCTAAGGCGGGCATCTTCCCAGCAGACAAAAAAAGAGGCTTGTGGGCTGACGTGTTCAAACCACTGAGCATTTAGCCGCTGCGCCATCAGGCTCCTTATTCAGCATTTATTCAGGAAGTGTCTGGAGGTACCAACTGGTGCTTGGCTGCTGAACGAGTTTGGTGGTTGGTGATCATACCAAAACCTCTGAAGAAAGGACTGTTGTTATTGTTGTGGACCGTAGAGTCAGAACTGACCCATAGCTGACCCTCCGGTGGGTTTTCAGAGGCAGTTAATTGCATGAGAGGAGATTGTCCATCCTTTCATGGAGCAGCTGGTGGCCATGAACATCGTGCCTTTGGGATTGCAGCACAGCTTCTTGCCGTTAAGCCACCAGAGCTCCCTAAGAAAGAACTGTTTTAAATTCAGCCATTGACTATGAAATATCTGATTAGGGACTCTTAACTAAAACTTATAGAACATCCCAGCACCTCAACAAGAAAAAAGACAAATAACCCCATTACAAAATAAGCAGAAAACATGAAAAGACTCCTCACCAAAAAGAATGTTCAGATGTTCAACAAACACATGAAGAAATGCTCAAGATCACTAGCAATTATTGTTTTGTGCCACTGAGTGGACTATAACTCATAGCGACCCTATGAACAACCCTGTGAGCCTTGCCCTATCCTGAGCCAACACACCTGACCCCATTGCCACAGTCACTGCGTCAATCCATCTCATCAGGGTCTTCCTCTCTCGGAAGACCTTATAATCCTTCTCCAAGGATTGCACTCTCTTGACAACATGCCCAAAGTATGACAGGATTTCAAAGTCCTTCCCTCCAAGGAGCAACCTGGTTTTACCTTCTCCAAGACAGACTTGTTTGTTCTCTTGGCAGTCCATGGTATGTTCAATATTCTTCTCCAGCACCACACCTCTAAGGCATCCTTTCATTTTTCTGTCATCCTTATTTACTGTCAAGCTCTCAAATGCATAGTAAGCAATTGAGAAGACTGTGACTTGGATCAGGTGCACCTTAGTTTTTTGACTGACATTGTTGCTCACTAGCACTCTGGAGAAAGCCTTAACAGCTGATTTTCCCAGCACAACTTGTCTTTTGATTTCCTGATTTTGGGTGCCAAGAGTGTTGATTGTGAATCTGAGCAAGATGCAATCATTAACAGCTTCAGTCTTTATCATGACGGTGTCCATTGGCCTGGTGATGAGAATTTTTGTTCTCTTGATGTTGAAATGCAATCCACATTGAAAGCTGCCGTCCTTGATACATCTTCAAGGATATGAACATGTA